GCTGTAAGCTAATGATAGTTATATAAGAGCAGATGCATGCAAACAAACAAACCTGAACTAGAAACTGAAAACTAATAACTAAACACTGGGAAACTAGAAAACTAGGAACCCAGGAAACTAGAGACTAGGGACGAAGATAATAGGGAAGCACACAGCACATGGGGTAACGATGTGACAATGGAAAGAGGAAAACAGGGCTTAATGAAACGAGGGAATGAGACACAGGAGAAGAGCAGAGAAGAGAGGGACACGAGACTGTCAAAGTAAAACAGGAACCAAGAGACATTCACAAAGATGCAGACTTGACACTGAGACATGGAGACAAGAGGGAAGGGTGACTAGACATGAAACATGGAACACGGGGAAGGCAAAGTAACAGAAACCAAACAAAAATAGAAAATAAGATTATAACACACAGAGAACAATAAGGAGAACCAAAACCATGAATAACACTAAAACAAAGAATATCAGTTAATCAAGAAACACAAAACACTGTGTCCCAGACCCAGTACTGTGACATTATTATGTCTCTGTAGGATTACTGTAGTGCGCTATATGAACCAAGAAAAAAAAGAATATTCCCATTTAATGTTATTTGTGATTTGCTGCCTCTTTGGAACTAAAAGAGGCTACTCAAACACATGAGATATCAGTGGAAAGCCCAAGATGTCCTCTATTTAATACATCAGGACTTAGTAAGATAGCTCAAATAAGTCACAAGATATTGACCAAAAACAAATGTCCATACAGAGGACATAATAGAATAGGCTGGGCCTCAGGAGGTTATGCAGGAGTTAGACAGTTTTCCCTCTCACATCTCCAGTTGGTTCAAAATGCCACTTTTGACTGCAGTGTGTAGAGAAGTGAACCTTAAGCCTATTATGGCCACACTCCATTGGCTGCATGTGCACTTTAGTTCTTTTGTTTTTAAATCCTTAAATTATTTAAATCCTTAAATAGTTTGGGCCTGTGGTACCTCTCTGAGCTGCTTTACTCATACACATACACACATACATGTCCAAAGTCAAGTAATCTGACCAGCTGCTCATACATGCACAAAAAGCGGAAGTTTGGAGGGTATTTTCTTTTGTTGACCCCAGATTATAGAATATATTGTCTTTGCACATTAGACAATCACCTACATTGTCCATTTTGAAACTCATCTTAAAACTCTCTGGCTTTTCAGTCCATCATGAGACATTGATCTTACTTGTTTTGATTTTGTTTTGTTGTTTTATAGTTGCTTGTTTTTGTTTTTATTATAGTTTTTTAATTGGTGTTATTTTTACTTTTTGCTAAAGTGCTTTGTTTTTTTTTTGCCTGTCCTGTCTGGCACTGTAGCAATCAGAATTATTGTCTGAAGGCCAAAGAAAATGCCCAAAGTGCTTTAAAAATGAAGTTGTATGGCATGTATGGTATAATGCTGCCCAGGTAGCTGGAGCCAGACTGTCCGTATGTGACCGGCCTTCAGCTTCAAAGCAATGTGCGACAAGCAAATTACTTCCAGTTTGGAAATAGCTTAAGAATGTATCTGTAGTTTGCCATGGAGTGGCAGATCGTGTGAACTAGCATAATTTCACAGATACTCCAAAATCCAAAGTAATAGCAGTGGTGAATGGACTGGTTCTTATATAGAGTTTTTCCACTCTGCAATACAAAATCTTTAATTTATTTTATCAACTTTTCTTCTGACGATGCTGTCTGTTTTGAGAGCTCAGTGGATCTGCGTTCGATTACTCCACCTAGGCTGCACTGTCGAGTGCAGATCCACTGAGCGCAGCGCAAGCTAGCGAGACAGAAGCTAAGCTCGTTGCAACATGGCAGCCGCCTCAACGCTACCCGAAATTGAACCTCCCCCACCCTCATTCAGATCTGGTGTTTGGAACTATCTTGGTTTTCATGTGAAGCATGATCCTGATGGACAAAAGTAAAACAGTAAGTCGGATGTGCCACGCAATGCTCAATTACATTGGTGGGAACTAGTGCGTTAGCGCAGTTAGCTCGTTAACGTGTTGGCCGTCCAGCCCCA